ACTAACATGCTAATGGCAGGCAGCAAGCTGGGGAAGGACAATATAAATGTAGAAGAGAAAGGGGGGGGATGTAGTCATCACATTTTACAAACACTAGTATCTCTAAAAGGGCATGTGGTCTTTGGCCTCAATATAGACTCTACTGCCCTTCAGCTAAATGCAAAATTGCAGGCGACAGGGTAGGAATTGTCCGAGAGCAACATTTGGAAAGCCACAATTTCTGCATCATACAGACAAGATGTGTCTAGCAACATTGCCAATCTCTCTGTTGTTCTTCCCTACAGATGGTTACAACTCAGTCTCCTTACAATTAACCTCAGCATCATTGTCTTGGAAAAGAAAGCATACCGTAACCAACTTTGCATCTCCTTAGAAGGACAGAGAGAGTGATGTTTTTAATGGGCTTCTCTTTAATAGGCTTCAGGCTTGCCAATTAATTGCCAGTCAGCCAAGCAGCTGCTGAAGAGCAGCCTTTATTACCTCTTCCCCAGCGCTGGGCTAATCTCTTTCAAGTGAACAGCTACATTATCCAAGCCAGTGGCTTCGTTCTCATTCTCGCATCAATAGGTAATTAAATCTCAGGCTGCAGGGCGCCAGCTGATCACCTTGCCCTCTCAGTAACTCTTGTTAACCCTGCTGTTGGTGTTGTTGGGGGAAGAGTGCCCTTCAATCCATCGGATTGGAATTGCTGACATAGCTTCCTCAGGAAGTCACAGCCTCTTCTAGAAAGAGGCTGAAGGGTTAAACAAATGAAACCATAATAAAAACATGTTCCACTGGCTATCATTTTGTAAGCGAGAAGTTTTGTGTTACATTCCTTTTCTCATGTACTTTACTCACTCGGTAAGTATGGATGCCCAATGACTTCCTAGCTGAGGCCCTGCAACTTTCTTGGTGAGGTTTTTCAGAAGTGGCTTGTTCTTGCTTCCTTCCTAGGGCTGAGAGAGAGTGACTGGCCCAAGGACACTGAGCTGGCTTTGTGTCTAAGGCAGGGCTGTCAAACTCCCACCCTGCAGGCCGGATGCGTCACGTGCTGGCCATGTCCGGTTTAACGAAGAGGGGGAAAATCCCAATATGTCACGTGACACCGCCATGATGACGTGAGTTTGACACTCCCAGTCTAAGACATGACTAAAACTCAGTCTCTTGGTTTCTAGTCTAGCTGTTTAACCACTACAGCAAACTGGCTGTCATTTTGGCTACTCTGTTAATTTTTACATAAGGCACAATCTAACTAGCTTTTATCTTACAATAGGATTTTATATATAGTGCTAAGGAGCTTAATTAACCGTGGTTGGTTGGGTAAACCTCAATTGGCTGAATTTGTACCATAGATTAAGCTATAAATCGGTTTCCAACCTACAGTAATTGGATTTTCCTAATGCACAGCTAAACCCAAACTAAACGATATAATGGCTTAAAGTGATAATTACCCGATCAATATAAGAAGGGATTGTGAAAAGAAGCAATGCTGATTATGAAAACCTTCACACAGTTCCATAATTAGTGTATAAGTGATGAATGACAGTTTAAATGACTTCCTCCAAAGACACTGAGTAGATCCATATACCATGTTAAGTTATGATTGGCTTGGCTTGGTGTGACATGTAAACCTACCATTGCAACATAGAGTTGTACAAACTAAATCAGAGCTTGAGTATAAAAAAATCTTTTTAGAAGGGGAAAAAAAACACCTAACTCGTCATGCAATGCATGAATCAAGTATGAAATTTGGAAAAACCTCCTCCATTCAATCAAGTTGCTCCTAGATGTAAACATTCTCCAATTTAGCACCATAAGAAACAAATACATTAATTCTTTTAACCTTGAGAATATTGACAACTTCCAAGAAACTTGTAAAAAAAATCAGGTCTCTGCCTTTTCAAAAGTTAAGGAGTGATGAAGAATGCCTAAACATTTCAGAACTATCTCTGCAAATTCATACAAAGGTATGACAACAGCATAAACTTAATATTAATTAGTAAGGGATTTCCATATGAATGCTCTATATTTATCTGACAATATGTGCCACATGATGATGTCAATTTATTAGGGTTATTCCCCGCTCCCCCAATTATCATTCAAGGGATAATAGTCTTCTACAAGAGAATTTTTTAAAAAAAACCCTTGTCTGAGTTATATTCACATTTATTTGTTGCCAGAGTGCTATAAAGGTTAGTCATTTGTGGCTTACTTGTTGGGACCCCTGTGGCTTTCGTAGTATTTGTAAGCAGGATAATCCTATTTGGATCATCTGAACATATGGGTCCTTACACCACCAGTGAGGTTTCTTCTTTATGTTTACAATGATAATTGGTTTTTTTTGAATAAGAACACTAGATCTTTAATGCTAGTAGAATATTACTGTAAGACTATGCCCGATAATAACCTCAAAATATGCTCAAACATGTCTTTCTGTGGATGTATATATGAAATCTGGCCATTTTTCAGGAAATAAATGCTACTTTGAGGAAAGATTTCTATGCCACATTCAAACCTGTTTGTGTGTGGTAAAAATAAAGACATCCTGAAGCAGAACCCACTTCCTGGTCAGCAACAATATTAAAATCTTTCATATTTGCCCCTTTTTTCAGGATGTTTATTTGCAGTCAACTATGTGTCTGTTTTTTTTTTTTTAAGTAATCTCCCTTATAATGGCTTAACTAAGCCCATCTGTGACTGGTGTGCTAATAAAGCGTAAATTGAAAATTTCTTGGAAATCACCTCGGATCAGAACAAATCATACTCTATGTGTTGAATGGATGGTAGTACCAAAGTCCCTCATGATTGACTAACATGTAGTTTGTAGCTGTCTTATTTTTTTTAGGTGGCGATCTATCTTGGGAGATCCTTAGCAATGTAAATATTTGATTGCTGGGGAAAAAAGCGGATTTGAGATGGTGCTTTTTGCATAGAAAATGACACTGAAAAACAATGTAGATTCCATCCTTTAGTGAACATCTTTATGCAGTTTCTTTTGGAAGCTCTGTTGCTACAACTATGGTATCTTGGTTTGTATTAGAATCGAACCGGATTATTTTTGTTCAAAATAAGGAAGCCGCTCTGATAGAGTCCCTATGGAACGATCTCCCCGTTGAGATCCGGACCCTTACTACCCTTCCGGCCTTCCGCAAAGCGACTAAGACCTGGCTGTTCCGGCAGGCCTGGGGCTGTTGATTTATCCAGCCCCATCCTAAGTTATGAATGTTGTCGAATTTTTAATGTTGTTTTTATTATTTGTATGTCTCCCCCTTCCCTTTTTTTACCTGTAAGCCGCCCTGAGTCTTCCGAGAGTGGGCGGCATACAAACCAAATAAATACAAATACAAATACAAATTTAAAGGAAACATGGAAGGGCTATGACAGTGTTGGCAAACATTTTCGATGCCGAGTGCCAAAACAAGAGTCCAGGGAGTGGGGAGCACCGGAAACTAGAAGAGTTCTCCGGCAAGAATGTGCATGCTGGGAAGCTAAGCTTCCGGTTTCCGGCATGTGTGTGCTTGCCAGAGAACTGCTCTTCTGGTTTTCGGTGCTCCTGCATGTGCAAAGACTAGCTGGCCAGCACACATATGCACGCTATAATCCTGAAGAGCAACGTGCAACTGCTGGCATGCCCGGAGAGATGGCTCTGTGTGCCACTTCCGTCATGCGTGCCATAGGTTTGTCGTCACAGGGCTATGAATTAGCTACTAAATCTGGACTTCAAATTTCTTGACAATCTCCAGCTACAGAAAATCCTTCCTCTCCACTATCATGAACAGAAAGATATAAACTGGCTGGCTTTGGAATTCTGGGAGTTGAAATCCACACATCTTAAAGTTGCCAAATTTGAAAAACACTGGTGTAATTAATAGTTGTCCTGCTTGTTTTAATATCTTCAATAGTACACATTAGGCTTATGAGCTTGTATAAATCATCTTTTGGATTAAATCAGGCGACCAAGCTTCAAAGCATCCAAATGATGGCCTGGATACTTTCCCATGATTATTTTTGTTTCTTCAAATAGGCAGAAGTTTACGATCCTTCCTGGAAAAATAATAGATTTCATTTTATCACTGAGTGGCTTGTTATGAGACGATTAGTTCAAGAGGTGAAAGAACCATAAAACCATCCAAACTGCAGTTTGATTCTTTATTAAAAGGACCCGATGTGCCAGTTCAATGCTTTGTAAACCAGGCTTGGAAAACAATGTGCAAATAAAGGCATGGGGTGAGGTGGAGGGAATATAATGAAGACAGCTATAGCCAAGGAAAGAAGATAATCCAACAAAAGTGGAATGGTCACCCTTTTTCTCTTTCCCCCTTTTCCCCAATTATTCCTGGACTTCTTGCTCTGGCCCAAAACTCTGTTAGAAAAAAAATATGGCCGCTGCAGATCTTGGGACTCAATAGGCACTCTGTGTGTGTATATATGTGTGTGTGTGTGTTTGCGTGTGTGTGTGTTTGTGTGTGTGTATATATATATACTCTATTAGATGCTTAGAAACAAAAATAACTTTTATCTGACCCTTGCACTAAAATATTTTTTTTTTAAAGCAAAAAAGGGAGAACCGTAACTTTCAATGTATTTTCCCCTCATTCAGTTCCACTCCCTCTCCTCATCCTAATATTTGTGGGTTGTGAATAATAATTTTTTTTTAAAAAAAAACCCTTAAAAGAATATGGGGAGAAACTTTCCACTTCCATGGACCTGTAAAAGAGGTTTACTTTTGAACCAGAGGGGCAAACACTGCAATGTAGCCAAATAACAGCTCCCTGAAGTGATCCAATACAAAAGGGAGCTGTGCAGGATTGGGTTTCGCACATCTGCATCTCGTACCCAATACAGGCCCTGTCTGTATTTGGCTCTTCAAATTGCATTTGATTTGGACCAGGGTTTCTCCCTTTTCCTTCTTTCCTCCTTGCCCAGTGAAGTGAATGGGGGGCGGGGGGGGAGAAGGATCTGAGAAGACACAGGTGGAGACACCATCCAACCATGTGTATGTGGGGGGGGGGGGTAGATGTCTTGAGGCTTGGTTGGATGCAGATGCGTACTTCTCCCACCATATGAGAGGAAGACCACTTTCAGTAGAGGAGATTATACCAAGAGCACCGGTTGCCTGGTGACAGTATCACAGTTCCTCTGAACGCTGCAAATTTTTCTCCAACCGTTCTCAAATGCGCTCTCTCCCGTCATCACACAAAATGCACAGAAAGAAAACGATTACAGTACAGAGTCTAGTCAGCACCGTTGAGCTCAGCTAAATTCTGCATAGCCTCTGGCTGTGAATGGAAGAAGGTGGACCGAGTGTGGTTGCTGCTCCTCCCACTTAACCCCCCTCTAGTTCATTCAAAGGTAGGCATCAGTCTGGGAAGCCTTTCAAAGTTGTTCCAGCTCCCTGCAACTGCTGCCGTGGCCTGGCGTGGCTGTGGCGAGTCTCCGCAGTCTTCTTATTGGCCAGTTGCTAGCCACCAGGAGCGTATTCACATGGACAAGTCCTTTGAGCCTCACCCTTGCATCTAGCATATAGAGAGCATTGACTGTAGCAATTTGACTGGCTCCTATTTACAGCTCGCAGAGCCCTAACCCGTTCCCCTCCGAGGAAAGCTTTGGTTGGAGAACAAAACAAACAAACAAATCAAACCCCGATAAACTATTCTGAGAAACATCAACTTACATTTTTTTTCCTCTTTCTAGAAAACTGATCTGCAGGGAGGTGTGACTATAATACCAAATGTCCTCTTAGCTTCGAGGCTCCCAGTTTTACCCTGTTGCCTTCCACCTTTCTTTCAACAATAGGCCTGAAAAACAAGCTGATCTCCTATTTTGCTCCAGATGTTCATCTGCGGACAGATGAATTCCTTTGAGGAGCACTGTGCAATATTAGAAACAGGAGCCGTCAGTGAATTCAAACTCAGATGCCTGATTGTCTCCAACAACATCACATTACTTCTGAAAAGTAACACTTCTGGACCCAAAAGTCATGGTTATTATTAAATCCATCCTTGTTTGTTGTTACCCCCTTTTTTCTTTTCTTCTTCTTCTTCTTTCTTTTAGACACATCAAACAAAGGAAGAAAACCCAGCAATAGGGGCTCTGGACCCCGGGGCAAGGCTACTGGGTGGTCGGTAAAGAGTGCTCTGCTGACTAGGTGGATTGACTGGAGTTTGTGGGGTTGGAGTCCTACTGGGTTTGGGTCGGAAGAGGCTGCCTTGTTGGGTACTGGTGCTGTTGGACAGAGGGCAATGGTCAGGATCCCCAGAGTCACTTTCTGTATAACTGTAGGCCTGAGCCCGGGAGATGCCCTTCTGCTGGCGCCTCCAGGAGTTGTAATAAGTTGGGTCGCTGATGTAATGGTTGACAAAAGAATGGGCTTTCTGATGGTTCTGATCCACTTCGTACTCACTGTCGCTTCCCTGTGGAGGGAGATGGAAAAAATTGGTAAGAGCAATACAAAACTGTTTCTCACACATCAATCAGTCTGTGAACACAGATCAATTATGTGAAATTTCTCTAGATATTTTTAAAAAAAGCAAGCTGGAAATTAGAAGTAACCACACAGAGAGAACTTTTCCACAGTATTATGCTATCTATGGATTTTTTTTTCTAGACAAAAATAATATAGTGTAGTGTAGCACTACATACTAGCCAACACTATATCACTGTAACTTTGGCCTTTTATACTTTTATACTTTTCTATTACTGTGTCTATAATTTTATACTTTTATACTTTTCTATTACCGTGTCTATAATTGGGTTTTTATACTTTTCTATAATTGATTATTAGCTTTGATTATTAGCTACCTTGGGGATATTTTATATCAAATACATACTGTTACATTTACTTTTTAAAGTAGATTTACAGTTACAGACAGTTGGTTAGTTTGGAAGGAATAATCTACTTTTCATTATTGCAATGGAAATCCTTTCCTTCCTTCAGGAGCTTTCATCGCACTTACAACTTTCCTTTAAAGAACAACAAGTCCATGAGGCAGGTTAGACTGAGAGTAACAGGTCCAAAGACACCTATTAAGTTTCCATAACTCAATAGAATCTGGATCTCCCTGCTCCACCCCCCCCGCTGCCCTACAATGCAATTTTAACATTGAACATTGCAGAAAACTGTGCAATAATTTGTCTATTAAAATGGTAATTTGGAAGGCTGTGCTCTAGTAGTGTGCTGCAGCTGCAAAAAAAAAAAAAAAAAAGGCAATGCAGCCCTAGGCTGCATAAAGAGAAGATTAGGGTCAAGGTCAGGTGAAGTGTTAACACCACTTTATGAGGCCTTGGAAAGACCACACTTGGAATACTGCATCCAGTTTTGATCACCACAATATAAAAAAGACGTTCAGACTCTAGTCTAGAAAGACTGCAGAGAAGAGCAACAAAGATAATGTTTAGCCTTCAGGAGACTGAAGGCTAAAACAAATGAAGAACTGAGTATGTCTAATTTAATGAAAACAAGCACTGGGGTGACTGATAGCAATGTTCCATATTGCCCATATTCCTCAAAGGGCTATCACAAAAATGAGGGGGGGGGGTGTCCATCTATTTTCCAAAGCACCTGAGAGCAGGGCGAGAAGTCACATATATTTGGAAACTTATCAAAGAGCGATCCAACTCAGAACTAAGAATAAATTTCCCGACAGTAAGAACTTTCTAGTATTAAAAGTCATCTGCTGGTAACTGAAAATTTATTCTCTGAGAACATCTGTATTTTAAAGAATGTTACAGAGGGAAAAAAAAGATAAAGAATTGAGGAGGGCAGGGCAAAGTTGGCACATTTCCCTCCTTTCAACTCTGCCTCTGTTCTCGTTAATTGAATTCAGTTTCTCCGCTTGCAGAAGCACAATAGAGATCTTTCATGAGCTCCCCCCCCCCCAGTTAGGGAACAGATCAAATCGCAGGTTTCAGCTTGCTTAGAGCTCAAGAGTTTCTCAACGGTGGTACTCATCTGCACTAATTTCATCGGGGAGAAGGAAGTGGGAGAAAAGAGGCTCTTGAAATCCAGGTGATTAAGAAAAGTGAAACCAAGGTGATCAGCAAAGAGAGAAAGAAAGACACTCTGTGCTCCCCCATGTCTAAAACAGAGAGATAGGAAGGGAAACGTGCAGGCCCCTTATATCCAAGATACCCGAAGCTAAGCAGCAATGGCTGGGACAATGAAATAATACAAATGGAAGATCAGAGGTGGTATTCAGCCAGTTTTGACAGGTTCTGGAGAATCGGTAGCAGAAATTTTGAGTAGTTCTGTGAACCGACAAATAGGCTGGCCCCACTGCCTCCCAGCCAATCTTCTTTTGTTGCCCTGAACAGGAGAATGGAGCTGGAAAGCAGGTTAGTGAGGTAGGGAGGGAATGGGGATTTTGCAGTATCCTTCCCCTGCCACGCCCACAATGCCACATCATGCCCACAAAGCCACACCCACAGATCTAGTAGTAAATTTTTTTTGAATCCTACCGCTGTTCTAGATCATAGTGTAAACGAGCTTTTGATTATAAACTGGCATTTTTGCATTGCAAATCAGTCATTAAGCCACTTTAGTACAATACAATACAATACAATACAATACAATACAATACAATACAATACAATACTATACAATACTATACAATACAATCAATACAATACAATACAATACAATACAATAGCAGAGTTGGAAGGGACCTTGGAGGTCTTCTAGTCCAACCCACTGCCTAGGCAGGAAACCCTATACCATTTCAGACAAATGGCTATCCAACATCTTCTTAAAGACTTCCAGTGTTGGGGCATTCACGACTTCTAGTGTGCTCCTGCTCTATCATGTGTTTTTATATATTCTTATTTTAGAAAATAAAGGTAGTTATGACATTTCACAGAAAATATACTGTGTCCAGTCAGGTTTTTTATATGTTGATGGCCAGTTATGTGTTATTAAAAGAAAGAGGAAGTGCATATGATAATTTTAAATACAGGTGCGGCATTAGAATACCTACCATTTTAAAAGTGGTACAATGTATTCCTTCATAATAGAAAAGACTGTGATCAGGTGACCGGTGTACCTGTTTAATCTGCAATTAACTGTGCCTATAGCCCTTGGATATGACTCTTCAATAGAGAGCTGTCTGCATTCAAACACAGAAGTATCTGGCCACACTAATTTTAGAGGACTTGTCATGAAAGTCTGTAGCCCTCAGTCTCGGGGGATTTTGTGATCCTCTCTCCACTCCTTTAAAAGCAAAGACGTGCTTCACCCCACATTTACTACACTACATTTTACAGATTACCTTGGGGCCATCTCAGGTAGTCCTCAACATATAACCGATTGCTTAGCGACTGTTTGAAGTTACAAATAGATCTCCCTGAGGGTACTTATAACCTGGATTCAAAGTGTTATGTGACTGCACTTTGAGTTTCTAGCAACCGAACTGCATTTATATACATTTGCAGTATCCTGCAGACACATAAGCACATTTTCATGGTTTTGCCAATATAGGCAATTTATTTTCAATTTTCTGATAACATCAGCCATAGAGGCTTTGATGGGTTCGCTTAACGACCATGGCATTGTCTTAAAGACCACAGCATTCACTTCATGACTGCCACAATAAAGGTTGTAAGATCAAGTTGGTCACACGACCAACCTGATTTATGTCCATTATAATTCATGACTGTAAATGGGTAGGTTCCATTATGGTTATAATTCTAGGACCACTTATGTGATTTGTCTACATCAAGGATCATGCTAAATCAGTACAACTGTGCTTTCTGCAACATACCGTATTTTTCGGAGTATAAGATGTACCAAGATGTTGATGAGGCAAATTCAAAAAAAAAGTTTTTGCACTCTGCAGATCTCCCAAAACCATTTTTTGTCAAAAAAAGGGCATGCATAGCCTTTAGGAGGCTTATAGAGTGCTCCTGTAGGTTGGGGGGCCTTTTTCACCCATTTCTGCCCTCCCCAGCCCCCAAGAGCACTCTGGAAGCCTCCTAAAGGCAATGCACAGCCATTTTTGCAAAGGAGGAGGCGTTTCGGGAGGCCACAAATGCTGTATTCAGTGTATAAGATGCACTCAGATTTTCACCCTCTTTTTTGAGGGGAAAAGGTGCATCTTATACTCCAAAAAATACGGTAAGTTGCCCCCAGGAAATCCCGCAGCACTTTCACAGATGCTCTCTTGACATCATGAGGAATTTGCTGAAGCCAAACCTAATGTAAAGAACAGAAATAGAAGTTTGCACAGTTCAGTGATCTGGATTTGAAAGGTGATGGAGGGCAGACAGGACATTAATACTAGCACGTTCTGATAGAAGCTGGATCTTCTCCTGGGCTCACAGGCTACTCCCAAAGATTAGGAATTAATTTAAGAAGGGGCTGACAGGTGCAACAGACCTGACTCCAAATCATCTTTTCCTCTTCAAATCCCTTTCACTGCGTGCCCTAAAAGAAAATGCTACAAGTTCAGTAAGATTTGAATTTAAGTAAGCTTATTTCAGAGCGCAGTCTTGATATGTACAAAGCTTGTTCCTATTGACATGGTTAAGTCTGACATTCATATCTGTCTTTGGGAGATAAGCATTTCTGTAGACAGTAACTGTCTAAACTCAATTCACTAATAGCTAAACATTTGCCAGCATGGGCGCTAGAATCTCTGTACAGGATTAAGGGATTATTTTTCATGAAGAAACTCCTTGATTTCAGCCAGCAATTCTGGAATCTTGCTGGAAAATTGTTCTTTTTGTCTGGGCTGGTTCCCCCCCCCCCCAACACTACAATTCAGACACTGTGACGTATTTTTGTTAATCTGAATAAACTGGGGACCAATGCCTTTATAAAAAGCTCCTTCCAGAGCTTTGCTGATAGTTCCAAGGATATTTAGCTATGATATCCGGGAAGAATATGTGTGGAGAAATTTGCACCTAGATGTACTTCTGGCATGGGTATTTGGCTGTCCTAGCAGTTCTCTCTGCTAATTGCCCTTGGGAGGTGAGGTGGGCTAGTTGAGGGCCAGGCCGTTTGGCAAAGATTCTGTTCTTACACAAAACAGGACAAAGGAACCGTTTTGCCACAGCCTGGCAGGGTTGCCAACTCCTGTTAGCCTCTGAATTGCTATGCCTGTCGCCATTGGTAACAGTGCAAGGAAAAGAAAGGCCTGGCTGTAAGACGGCCTGTGTCCTGAGTTTTTGAGACAGATGTCCCTGTACTCCTCCCTTGGTACTCAGCTGCCTCTGCTGATCACCATCCCTTTCCCCAGAAGGATGCGCAGAACATACATCAGCAATTCAAGGAACATTTTAATCCTAGTATTAAAACATTTCCATGTTTTAGTTTTTTAAAGCTACATGCTTGCTGCAATGACTTACTCTTGTAAACATCAGTCTGGACTCTTAAGGGGAAAGGAAGTACGTATGATTAAAATCAGTGGTGAAAATCATTTTTTTTTACTACCAGTTCTGTGGGCGCGGCTTGGTGGGCATGACAGGGGAAGGATACTGTAAAATCCCCATTCCCTCCCCGCTCCTGGGTCCAGCCAGAGGTGGTATTTGCCGGTTCTCTGAACTAATCAAAATTTCCGCTACCGGTTCTCCAGAAGTGGTCAGAACCTGCTGAATTTCACCCTGATTAAAATATTATACAATTCATACTCAGGACTGAAACAGGCAGGTTGATGTCCAATAAGCCCCTCGCCCAGGAACTAGGGCAGGGGTCAGCAACCCGCTCTTTCATCCCTCTGCTGAGGCTCCCTGTCACTCAAAATATATGTCACAACTGTCAATGTGCAACACCCACGGGCACACAATTTATTGAGCTTTTTGACCCCTTTTAGGTTTTGTGGCTTCCGATGTTTTCTTTTCTGTGAGAAACGGATCCAAATGGCTCTTTGAGTGTTTAAGGTTGCCAACCCCTGAACTAGGGAAATGGCTGACTTCTTTCTTTGATTAGCCTCCTGTATATAGAACTTGTGATTTTTAGAGAAACCTACTTAACAAACAGCACTCTCAACGGTATCCTGGACAAGTGAACCAAGAGTGCATATGTACCTGGTGGAGGGCAACTGGAAATGAGCACTTTTTAAAAACACCCATTTGTTTCACAGCGTTCCATTCCTTAAAACGAATCTCTAAATCTAATGTCTGGCTTGTTTTGGGCTTCATCAATCTGTATTAAACAGCCCTTGCTGGCACCCAGCTTTTTGGCATGTGCTGTGGTAAAAACCATACAAAACAAACAGACATCTGTTTTACCCTTGAGCATAACCAACCCTCAGAGTAAATCTACACGAGAGCTGTGAAAACTTGAGATAAGGAAATCTAGTATTTAAGCAGGGCTGCAGATGGAGAGAGATAGAATGCAGAGTTAGAATCTAGTCAAAACTATATCAGCTGAGTCACTAGTTTTGGAGGAAACTGATCACAGAACAATAAGAACCATCAGAGTTACTTTGTGTGGAAAAGCTGGTGGAAATCGTTTTTTCTAGTGGGTAAATTACCAAGCTTCTCTATTCGAACAATCCAATCTATTAAAAACTATTTTCTGGTCACAGAGACTTCTTCTAGCAATAAATCTAGTAGACTACTTCAGTTGGGGCAAGCTCAGGGAAGTCAGTGAAGTGACACACTTGTGTCCAATGTGATTGTCTGATCATATCATTTTGTCACAATTCAGCAGGGGTGGGGTGGGGGTTATCACCTATGGCAAAAGTTTGTTTTGGGGGTGCCTTTATACCCCTTAAGGGGACATGGACCTTTTTGATCAAAAAGGTCGGCAGTTCAGCGGTTCGAATCCCTAGTGCCGCGTAACGGAGCGAGCTCCTGTTACTTGTCCCAGATTCTGCCAACCTAGCAGTTTGAAATCATGTAAAAAATGTAAGTAGAAAAATAGAGACCACATTTGGTGGGAAGGTAACAGTATTCCGTGTGCCTTCAGTTTTTAGTCATGCTGGCCACATGACCACGGGGATGCCTTCGGACAGTGCTGGCTCTTCAGCTTTGAAACAGAGATGAGCACCGCCCTCTAGAATTGGGAATGACTAGTACTTATGTGTGAGGGGAACCTTTACCTTTACCTTATGCCTCTTAAGATCCCTGTAAGTTCATTTTGGAATGCATGTGCTAAGTCCACTTAAAATGGGCTTTGTGACATTCCTAAGACTCTCTCTGGTATTGCATCCCAAAGCTTCTCCCCTTCCAGCCTCACTTACTTGTGAATCAGAGATTTCTGAAGGCTTCTCGGTAAGGCTGCTGCTCTCGGCTGGAATTAGGTCATTGTACTTGGTGACATCTTCATCTGAGTAGTGCAGTGAGCCTGGGCTGGGCCGTGGTGGGGACCTTGGGAGAGACACAGAAACTCTGAGATATCATTCAAAAGGAAGTCTATTTTGAATGGGAGAGCAAGTGGCTGCTCCCAGATTTGCTTACCCCCCCCTCCCACTTCTTCTCACGAGTCTGGAAGCCTTCGGTACCTTGTATATATTCCGTTCTTCCTGCAGAAGGAATTTTTTACTGACATGCGGCGATTGTTCAGTTCTAGAGCAGGGAAGCTGCTCTCATCCAGGCTGACCATTTCACCATGGCTCAGTGCATTTGACTTGGAGTTGCTCCCTAAAATGGGCAGAGGGAAGCAAGAACAGAAGCTGTTACTATTTTGGAGTATTTTTTTTTAGAGCACAGAAAGAAGCTTCTGCCAAGCTCCTTTCTCTCCCAAAGAACAAATTTCAGAAGTTTGTCCTGAACTTTCTTGATTTTTTTAATTGTGAGTCATCAACGGAAAAACAAGACCAGCTCCCCTCCATGAGCTGCCCTTGGATCCTTTATGCTGAGCGAGGGAGATCAATGTCCCCGTTAACACAACGTAAGGCACCATTTCCTGGCTTTAATCTCTTACATTGTTCATACATACTTTGCACCCAGGACAACATTTTGTACTATAATTTGAATAGAATTCTCACACTATTTCTTATTGTTTACCTCTTCTTGATCCTACCTGGGAATAATAGAGGGCAATTCGGGTAAATAGGAATTTGCTAAATGGAATTAATGATTTACTTCAAATACTTTTTTTAAAAATGGAATCAACATTAACTTCCTAATTAAACCCAAACCATTAATTGTCTCTCAATATTCCCAATCCTGAAATATGGGTGCTGAGCCCTTTTGGGATTCCTAGCATTTACCTTGCCCATAAGGGGATTTGAGGAAAGATCCCATCCCAGCAATAAAAGCTTTCCATAACTATTTTAAAGAGTCAATCCATAGTAACTTTTGCTCCTGGCCTCTCAGAGAACTACGACCAAAATTATGGAGCACTAGAGCCAGGCAGTGGAGATGTTGCTCTGTGGTATACAATGGATTTCATACAAAGCAACAGAAGAATGGTGAATTCACACAGAGTAGTTTCTGCTTTAGGAAAGTTTTTGCAGGAAGAGGGGAAAAACTGACAGGTGAGTGCAAACTTCATTGGCTATGTTAAGAATTGCTTGAGGATTTTTTAAAGCTAAATTCTAAAGCATTCAGGTCACCTACAGCAAACTTTTTACGTGTGACTTATCTTTAGAAGAATGCAGTGTTCATCACAGAAGAGGTTCAGGAATGTAGTTAAATGGGATTGGGTAATATGGTCACAAAGTCAATGGCTTTGATTAGGATTGCTAATTCCCTACTAGGGATGGGTTTAACAGGGAGAACTCCTGTGTAATCACTGAGATAATTTTACACAGCATTTTGCTGACAGAAATGCTAACATCTTGAATCTTGCATTTGAAGGCAACCCAGGTACTGCAACTGGGGCAAAATGCAATGGTTTGGTATCTGATGGATATTATTTATCCTAAGCGGATTATACAGCTACTTTGGGTTCTACATTGGTTACCAGTTGGTTTTGAGTCAAAATGATGGCTTTGATGTATAAAACTTTATATGGCTTGGTACCTGCTGAGTTACATTCTCCCATCCAAATTGTCCTGGCCAGTATATATTTCCCAAGAAAAACTTTTGATCACACCACACTTTTATAAAATAAGGGGAATGGAGACCAGGTGGTCCCACTTTTCAACTGCTGTGTCAGCCTTATGAAATACCATCCCCTTACAATTAACATTTGCTCCACCCCTTCTTATGTTTTATAAGCTATTGAAGAGGATACTTTTCCAAAAATGGTTAAATAGTTATCTTTATGTTTACCCTGGATATTTAAATTGGTTTGGATGTTTTTGCTAATTGCTTGCATGCTGCTGTGAATTTGTACCAATTTGGTGGCACACAAGCTGGCTGGCTGGCTGACTGGCTGGCTGGCTGGCTGGATGGATGGAGATTTGATGTGTAATGCCCTCAATGGAAAATACCTGTTTATTGCAAATGAAGTCTTGAGACTATGTTGGTACTCACCTGAATCAGATTTCTTGGCATATTTCTTGCTCTGCCCGCGAATGATAAGGACAAAGACTAGGAGGAGGATGAAGATGAGTCCCACCAGAGCAATGACCACCAGAAACCACCATTCTTCATAGAAGGGATTGGCTTTTTGAGCTGGGAAAACAGGAAGAGGAATCAAGTAATCTCTTTCCTATAAGGATGCCTATGCCCCATGCACATTGTTTCCGATAGCTTTTACTTAAAAGTTAGTTCAAAGCATGCTGGCATGGAAGAAGCTGGTTTCTATCCTTCATACCTGACACTGAAGGGGATGGACTGCTAGGCGTCCCATAGCCGTAGTCATTGACAGCAATGACTCGAAAATCATAGCTGACACCCTGCTTCAGGATATCCATGCTGAAAGTGTAAGAAGTTACTTCTTTGGGAATATCCTTTATGAGAATGTCCCACAGCCCCTCATCTGGAAGAGAAAGATATCAGTAAAGTTGCAATATTAAATGCAAAAAAACAGGAATACACAAATACACGTCAAACATAGGAGAATGTTGTCCTGTGGGCTGGAAAATGACTTTAGGGTTCCAATTCTAAAAAATAATGACAGAAAAACACAAGCAATTTGTTTACACAATTAATTGTGGCATTTGTTTGATTTGTACAGCAGAAATCTTTACTTTTTAAAAATACTTGTATGTTACATACCATTTATCCAAAATATTCTTGCATGCATAATAGATAGATATATAGGTATTAAAAATATTAAAAGGAATGCCAATTCCAAAGAGCAGTGAGCAGAGTCCCACAATGGTTGTGAAAATGCCATTGCATAGCAGGTTCAGAGTTATCTAGGAAGATTTACTTTTAATTAGTTGCAGTTGCAACCGGTTCAGAATATAGATCACGTTGTCTCCTCAAATTGTGTAATTCACAGAAGATGCCCAGGGATGTCTTAGATGGAAGATTTACCTTATAAAGTCACTGGAACATTTTAGAATTTCTGCTGATTTTAAGCATCAAAGAGTTACAAAGAGCATGCGCCTGTATATTTGATCTATATGGCAGTAGGAAACATATTTATATGATTTATGTGTTATCTGCATTGTACCCCTGTCTACTGAAGCATCATGGTATTTAGATTTTAGCTCTAGTAGCCAGATTGATTACTGCGCATGATTAACCGGCACCAACATCAAAAATTAATTTCTGGGGCTTCTATTTACCCATGGAATAAATGCCATGGAGATGGAAAATGAAGTTCTGTCCCAGTCTTTAGAAATCCTGATTAATTTCTTCAGATTAACTTCCTTTTCTTGTAGAGATCCTTGCTCTTTTCTATGGTCTCCTTAAGTTCCTGCTTTTACAGGCAGTCGCTATGACCACAATTGAGTCCAACATTTCCATTGCTAAATGAGACAGCCGTTAAGTGAGTTTTGCCCCATTGTATGACCTTCCCTGCCACAGTTGTTAAGTGAATTGTTACAGTTGTTAAATTAGTAACACAGTTGTTAAGTGAATCCGTCAGCCCCCTGTTGACTTTGCTTGTCAGAAGGTGGCAAAAGAAAAGGAGGAGCCAATGTCACGATGAGACGACGTGCGATCTCAATGCTCTGAGATCACCGTCGATACTTTTGCCGCTGGGTGGTCCAAACGGACCTAAACCGTCCCACAGAGACAGTGAACAGGAAGAATACATCTTGCTGATCTCAGGGACATCGCAAAGTCCCTGATCGATCCAAGAGAAGTTCTTCAAGCAGGTGACAAAAAATCCAGCCATTAGGCTGATGAAGTCGGGACGGCTCCAAAATGGAAGGATACAGAAAGAGAAAGTGTTTCTAGCTGGTGAGGAATATTTACTGTTTTAAAAAGAGACTGCCTATAAAAAACTTAAAATTAATTTAAATTGGAGAACTTCTCTTGGATCGATCAGGGACTTTGCGATGTCCCTGAGATCAGCAAGATGTATGCTTCCTGTTCACTGTCTCTGCGGGATGGTT